CCCCTCCCCCCCCCCGTGAAATTTATGAATTCGTACAACCTAACAATATGTTAGTGCATTAAGCTTGATAACGTTTGACAGCTCTGTTATTGTAGCCACTCCATTTTGTGTTGTCTCATGAAGTTATACCAAAATAAAACATTTCACTTTTGACACATGCATCTTTGCTCTTTATTCATCAGTATTGTCCAGACATTACAGATGAAACATAGTTCCTCTGTAATATACAACATGACACTACTGATTCCAAAAAATGTCTTCCCCATACATAGAGCTGTGTAACCTACTCTAACAGAGAAATTAGCTCCACATACATATCCTAAACTCTTTCCTGTCTCTCAAATCTTCAATCACAAATGAAAATCTGTATCTCTACCTAAACATTTTCCCTCCCAACATCTGCTTCGAGATTAATATTTTTCACTAATTCCATTAAAGCAAATGATAATGGAAGCCAACTTATTACCCTGTTTGGTGTTACAGGTATGAACATACTAGGTAATACATTCTTTCCTCTCTAGCAGTTACACAAATCTATGTGGACATCCTCCAAGAACACAAAACTACATGGCCAGCGGCCGAGATAAACTTTTTTCAAAAGTCTTGTTTTCTCAGGTCTCCTGGCAGTAGGTTTTCAGCTGTTTGGTTCAGAGGCAGCCCTGCAGAGAAACCCTATACAACATTTATTTGAGGTGGGTCTAGATGTTTATTCACCCTTCAAGTGCCTGTCTTACATTCACGACCTTCCCCAAAATTTGATCCAGAACACCAGCCGACCAGTTTTTCTGGTATTCGGATCAGTCTGACCAGATTAGGCCATGCCTACCTTTCTGCACCAATCAAAACGAATTTGAGTCAAATTTGAGTCAAACAACTGCTGACTTAGTCCCAAATACAATGTAATTGCCTTATGTTCTGCTGACCTACAGCCAAATACCAACCAAATATGGTATAAAACCTCCTGACCTACTCCATGATCGGGGGATGTTCCACTAGTGTTCGGGAGGACAAATTCTTAAATGTGTGATAGGCTAGGGTCTTTACATAGCAATAGTATGGAGCGCTGTTTCAGCACCAAGGACATTGCCTGCAGAACCACAGTTGCAAGATTTGGGGTGATCTGCATAGTATTACGTACCCAGTATTTCAGGCCCTGGTTTCATTTCTAGTGTCTATTACTACTGTCAACATGTCTTATGTTAGGTGTATGTAAAAGTAAACCAGGCTGCTGAGGAGAGAGAAGAAATTCACAGACAGGCTCGAGAAGTCTTCAGACATCTGGAACATGGGGACCAGGCAGCCTTGTCACTGTGGACACGGTTCAGGGACTTAAGTGTAGAAGAATACTCCAGGATATACAAGGTATGCCATATACAATGTATACTCTATTATATACAAGATGTGGAAGAATATTCCAGGATATACATATTATGAGGTATGCATATGTATTGTTAATTTTGTACATGTATCATATGTAATCGTTACTACGTCTTCTGACTTTTGGACAAATGTATGATAATGTATCAGTTTGACAATATGTGGGTAATTTTTCAGTTCTGCGTATTATTAACCAGGTATTCAGCACCAAGGACAGTATCATTTGAACAAGATAACACCTTTTCTTACTAGTTCCTTGATACTCAATCATTCAACAGCTTGTTGAGAATTATCCACGTATAGTAAGTTAAAACTTTTGCTCTAACACAATCCCTTGTGTTGAAACAACTGTTTTAACTTTAAACATGTATCAATACAGATAAACTTTCATGATAATATTGTTGTTTGTCCTTGTTTTGCCCAGAGACTAGGAGTCCAGTTTGATGAGTACTCTGGTGAGTCCATGTACTCAGAAAGGTCACAGAAGGTCATCTCACAGCTACAGCAAGCAGGGCTGCTACAGACAACTCAGTACGGAAACTATTTTGTCTTGTTCTCAGAGAAATACATCTAGAACATGTAGTATCTTGCTTTTAGTAGAAAATTGTGTCCAAATTGTAGTAAAAAGGGCACTCTAATTGCCTTATCCCCGCAAATTCATCTGGTTTTGTGAAGTCTGTTATGAATGGGGTTTTAATCCAAACCAGTTTAACTTTTTGCATGTGAACACTGTCATAGAAACAAGGCTGTTAAACTTAGTATATTTATTGTCACAACAGAAGGGGAACTGGAGTTGTGGACCTGTCTGAAGACAACAGTATGTCGTTCTACAGTACCGTCACCAGGAGTGATGGCACATCTCTGTACATCACCAGGTTAGTGAGTGTCTACCACTTCTCTTACCTCTTCCACTTTTTGTTTTCAAGAAATCTTGAGTGATTTTACTCTGGAGTAGCCAAAAGTATTGATAGTGAAGAAAATAGTGACAGCATTTTGATACTTTGCTCTAGCTTTTGATGATAATTTCTGTAAAATATAATTGTACTTCTCCTAATGTGACTCCAACACATTTTTTTGTTTCTTCCAACAGGGACATTGTTGCAGCCATAGACAGATATGAGAGATACAAATTTGACAAGATGTATTATGTGGTAAGTCTTTGTACAGGGGTGCTCAGTAGCTGGAATGGAATGACTGACATTTGTAGAAAATGGAAGTTAGATGCACTGTCTGCATGTAGTTCACAGCCTTTTGCAAGCAACTGAACAGAAGTATACACATGTCTACTATACCTGACGTATGCTGAGTGTGATTCAAAATTACCACAGGTAGACAAGAGCCAAGAAGACCACTTCTGCCAGCTATTTAAGACACTAGAGAAGATGGGACATACCTGGGCAGACAGGTAGGTTTTAAGTCATATTGGAGATGAAATGGATAATACATTTATTATGATATATTTTACTCTACAATTATTTATGCTAAATGGATTTTAGTTCGTTAACTTAGTGTTAAATGACCACTGTCAATGAGTTTATCGAGATGCACACTGAATTAAAATTAATGAATTGAATTTACAATTTTATAACTACATAACTCATAAAAAAATCCTTTTTGTGCTTTCAAGTTAAGTTAAGCTCGCTAGCACAACAGTTACTACATATCAACTACATAACTCATTAAACTTTTTGGTGCATTCATGTAAAGTTACATGTAAGCTTGCTGTCTGCTACATTAAAACAACATTTTGCATTGTGCTTTATGTATTATGGTTTTTCAGGTGCCACCATGTAAAATTTGGAAGAGTCCAAGGCATGAAGACCAGGAGGGGGGAGGTGGTGTTGTTAGAAGACATCCTAACAGAAGCCCAGAGACAGATGTTGGACAACATGCAGCAGGCTGCTAGTAAGACTCACCTCACAATTTTTAACTCACATATTTTGCATACATTTTAATGTGTACAAGAGTCATGCCAGCTAGATGTTTGACAAATGTAACAATGTATCAGTGTTCTAGCCTCAGCCTTAAATTTTTTGGGCATCTCAATTTTGTTTGATGCAACATCATGTTGAGCTTTGGATGTGTGCAAATGTTGACATTCAAAAATGCTATTTCCTGCATTTTGAGGGATTTTGCTGTTATAGCAAGTTAAATGACATCTCTTTCCAAACCTTTACACTTGACAAACTGGGCAAATTTTTTTGAGCGGCAAAATTCTGTCAAATGATGGAAAGACACCCGCTGGCTAGAACACTGGTAGATGTTTCATAGAAACATTGGATACATTTTTGGTACTAGTATTAACGTCAAATTTACGTCAAATTTTAATATTAGTCCATGTTTTAATCCTATGACTCCCTTGTTCATTCCCAGCCACCAAACACATGGATGACCCAGAGGAGGTTGCCGAGACAGTGGGGATTACAGCAGTGTTGGCTCAGGTGGGAGAAACTTTTTTTCTGTCACAGTCTTATTCTTAGGTTAATTTTATACGAGTTACTAGTTTCAGGTACAGATAACGTTACAGGTATTATATCCTGTGTTTTGTGTTTTGCATCTTAGGATTTCCGTGGCAAGGTTCTGTCTGACTACAAGTTTGACTGGAACAGAGCTCTGCAGAGTAAAGGGGACACTGGTGTGTTTCTACAGTATACACATGCCAGGCTGTGCAGGTAGGGTGCATCTTTATTTCTGTGACCATTATTACATTGTACCTCCATGAAAAATGGAGGTACATGATTGTATAATATTGTTTTTGGCGCGTCTGTGTGTGTGTATGTCTGTGTGTGTGTGTTTCCGCACATTTGTAGTCAGCATAACTTCAGAACGCCTTTATGAATTGTGATGATATTTGGTATGCTGGTAGGTCTTAGGAAGCCAAAGGTCAAGGTCAAATATGGGCCTCCTGATGGTTGACCTTGGTACTGCAGCAGAACTTCCGGGAAAACAGATGTGTGGGGTGGCAGGGAAAACAGATGTGCGGGGTGGAGGCAGCGCCTGCCCGGTTTTATTAATGAGGTTCTCCCTCGGGAAAAGCCTACATGACCATATCCAGGCCAAAGGCGCTACTGTGTGTTTGAAACCAAAAACCTGTGTTATTTTTTTCTGTACTATAGTGTACTGTGTAAAAACATTTAGAAAAACTCATATATATTGAGTCATGAACCTAACTTAGGATGTCTGTTTGTTTCACATACATTTGTAACCAGACACTAACAGTAAACCTTCCTTAGGCCAAGCAGATCAGTTTGGTGCAGTAAGTACAAGCTGCATAAGACAGGACTGTAAGTTAAGTTTGAACCACTCTCACACCGGGATGGAAGTGCAGTCAGTTCTTTAATGTGCTTGAGGTGTGGATCTCTCCAACTTAAAATCATTTGTACTGTTTTTTGTTGTTTGTGTACAGTTTAGAACGTGAAAGCGGGATGTCAGTACCAGCCAGCTGTGACCCTGCCCTCTTGCAGGAACGACAGGCACTGCAGCTGCTGCAACAGATAGCTGGGTACCGTTTAGTACTAAAACTTGTTTCCCTCTATTTTGTACAAGAAATTATCAATAAGTAATAATTCAGTAATTTCCAATGCTAAATAAACATTCAAGTTGTTTACCAGCTCAACATTTGTTTTCTTATGTATACCTTTTCAGAAGGAAAACTTTTTTTTTTGGCTGTTTTTATACACAATTTGCTTTGCAAAATGTTACCTTTACAGTTAGCTATAAAATGATATGGCTTTATAATCGAGATGTGCAATTCTGCAGGTTTGACCAAGCTGTTCATAAAGCCTTGACTGACCTGGAACCCAGACACATCCTGTCTTACACTCTACAGCTCAGGTAGGACCTTTCTAATCTGTTCAAGGAAGCAGCCTAGGGAATCAAACTTTTTTCAGCATTTGAAAAGCTCACACCTGTCCCTGAATACATTTACATGTGTGTATAAATAAGGCCACACCAATTTAATTTGTTGGTTCTTGGATTTTTGTAGAAAAAATATGGAGCGACAGGGCGAAAAAAAATAAAAATAGGTCTAGGCATCCTATTATAGCCCCAAATGCTACAATAGGATTAGGAGCCATGAAGTCAACACAAAAGGCTGGGTTAAAATTTAAACCATGAATTTTGAACTTTTAATCAAATCACTGCATTGATAGATGGAAAAGCTGTAACACCTAGGAAGAAAATGACTTTCCTCAACTGTTGGGGCAAAATATGAGCATATTTGAGTTGATTCAGAACCAGAATTTTTTTTTTGTTGCAAATCTGAAAAAAAGAGGCAAATCTGAGAACCAACAAATTAAATTGGTGTGGCCTAAAAGACACAAACCCCAGTAACCAGGTCAAATCAGAATTTGGTTTGCTTAGAAACATGAAAACATTTTTTTTTCATCCTGCACCCATGCACACCCCTGACAGCAACTGGAGAAAGAAACAAAATTTTATGAAGTTTCATGATTTATATGAAGTACCTGAAGAAGAGTACATGTTAATATTTGAATCTTTTGCCTTTAAATTTTTAGTCACCTTGTGGCAGCAGCACACAGGTCACTCAAGGTCAAGGACAGCCCAAACGAAGTGGCAAAGGTAAGTACGTCAGCCTTTTTTTTTAACGTCATTTTGGTATATGCCATACTACATATTAATGAGATACATGTATGTCAGAGTATAAATTTGTCATCTACTAGTAGCATTGATTGTATTCCTTTACTGTGATCTATTGAGGGTTTGACATCTGAATTGACTGTGTCCTAATATTTCCCTACTAGGCTCGTCTGCTATTGTTTCATTCTGCCCGTGTGACATTAGCCAATGGGATGGCTCTCCTCTGTATGACACCTGTGGATAGGATGTGATGTTGACCAATGGGATAGCTCTCCTGTGGACAGGATGTGATGTTGACCAATGGAATGGCTCTCCTCTGTATAACACCTGTGGACAGGATGTGATGTTGACCAATGGGATAGCTCTCCTGTGGACAGGATGTGATGTTGACCAATGGAATGGCTCTCCTCTGTATGACACCTGTGGATAGGATGTGATGTTGACCAATGGGATAGCTCTCCTGTGGACAGGATGTGATGTTGACCAATGGAATGGCTCTCCTCTGTATAACACCTGTGGACAGGATGTGATGTTGACCAATGGGATAGCTCTCCTGTGGACAGGTTGTGATGTTGACCAATGGGACTTCTGTATGACACCGGGTGACCGGTGGACAGGATGTAATGTAACAGTTGAACAATGGAAGGCTGTCTGTATGACAGTTGTGGACAGGATTCCATGCTGCTATGTTGTACCACACTACTCTTTCTTAGGCCACACCAATTTAATTTGTTGGTTCTCGGATTGTTTTAGAAAAAATTTGAAGCGACAGGGAAAAAAAAAACAGGTCTAGGTTCATTATAGCCCCAGAAATGCTACGATAGGAGCCATGAAGTCAACACAAAAGGCTGGTTTAATATTTAAACAATGAATTTTGAACTTTTAATCAAACCACTGCATTGATAGATGGAAAAACTGTAACAACTAGGAAGAAAAGGACTTTCCACAACTGTTGGGGGCATACCAGTATTTGAGTTGATTCAGAACCAGAATCTTTTTTTTTTTTTGCAAATCAGAAAAAAATGAAGAGGCGAATCTGAGAACCAACAAATTAAATTGGTGTGGCCTTAAGAGCTCTGCAGCTATGCTTTGTGTAAATGTTGAACTAAACTGCAATGAATTGTAACATTAAAAATTATGAACAAAGCAAAGTCTGATCACACTGGAAATCTCATTATTTTATTTCTTAATGCTGTAATTATTTCACTTTTAACAACTGTTATGAGTGTAAATACATTATATATTTACTATCAATTTACATAATTTGGTCCATAAAAAAGAGAGAATACATTGGGTACTAATTTAGAAAACAAGGAAATAAATCATTAACAGGTTGTCAATTTGATTACATTTTTGCAGTTTTATTTTCAGTGCCATTATACAATGTACCTGCACAAACCTACATAATTATCCAGGACATTTTGAGCCCTGTTCTGTTAGGTTTCAGCATTCTTGCACATGTGCAAATCTATTCCCTGCCTGTTGCACCTCACTTCTTGTTATCCCTCCTTCCTCTATTCCTCCTATCTGTCTTCCCTCCTTCATCCATCCCCTCCATGTCCATTTTCTTTGCTTTCCCTTTCTTGAATGTCTCCTCACCACTGATTGGTTGGATGATGGTGCCTGCCCTTGTGACGACCTTGGGTTCCGTCAGTTTGGCGACGGCGGACGGCGTGTTCCAGTCCTTACCCAGCGGAGCTCGGATTGAGCGCTCAAACTCAGTAACGGAACCAAAACCCTTGGGCAGTTGTCTCACCTGGCAAAACAAATGTTCAAGATTTGTCTTCACTGGAAATTTAGTTTTTTAAGGTTTTTATTAATGTGATCATCCATAGTGTAAATTTAGAAAGACATCTGGTGACCAGTTCAAATGATGACTTTAAACAAAGCATACATGTTGCACTTGGGTATCAGGATGACTCGAACCATAATCAACTTGGCCCATAGGAAATCTGGTGAACTCGGCACAATAGCCTAAAGGTAACTCAGCCCAAAGCCCTGGTCGTGTCAGACAGTTGACTTTGCCCAAACCACCAACGCTGAGTCAAAGGTACCTGGTAAATGATGTCAGCCCCCATCACGGTTGAGTGAAGGGTGATGAGCTACGAAAGCCTCTTTCACTCCTATCGGGATGTAGGCCGACATTTTTACCAGATACTCAGTGTCGACATCACACCGAAGTCTCACTGGTTATTGCACTGCCCTAGTTAGACCCACCTGGTGAGTTTTCAGCTTCTCATCCTTGTCCTCATTAATGATGACGTGATGAAGGCCCCAGTCCAGCCGCGGCTTAGGGGGCGGAGCCTTCTTTCTAAACCTGCCAAAAATAAAATGAGAAAAACTTCTTTTATGACTATATCTATCCATCTTTTTCTGACTATACATAAAAGGTAGACAAGTCTTTATATACTACCATACTCTATACTACCCACACTACCACCACATTGGACATTTGTTAATGAAGTTTGATACAGTGCTCTTTTGTTCTTCGTCAAGCAAAAATACATGTAGCTCACCTGGGCTCCATTTTTCAATCACTCTTACATTGACCTTCTTTGGGAGTGATGTTGATTCAATTACTCTGAACACATGACCTTAGGGACTCGTGGCTCGAGTAATGAATCATAATTTCTTGTCAGGCAATATTTTTGGCTGGTGAGCTCTTATGGTGAAAATAGGCTCTTTTACTCCTGTCACAAAGTAATCCAGTTCAGTGTCTAATATTTTTGTTTAAGCCTACCTTGTTCTTTTCTTGGGATCAACCTTGACCCCAACTCCTCCCCAGTTCCCCCACCCCGGCATGAACAGGTCGATGTCTTTAGGTTTCCCCGCTTCCTCCGCCTTTCTCTTCTCTTCAACAAACTCGCTCACGACGTCGTCATTCGCAAACGCTTCTTCGATGTTCTCCCGCTGTTGGTCAAAATCGATCATGTCTATGTTGTCGTCCACGTCAAGGTAAGTTGGTACGGAGGAGCGTAGTTTGGAGGGCTGGATGGTGAAGAACTTGTCGGGGTTGATGTGAACTTCCTTCACGATCTCTCTCTGCTTCTGTAGGGACGGGTTGGTGGGACTGTCTGCTTTGGGCCGTTGTGGGGAGTTGGTCTTCGTATCTGTTTGGAAAAGAAGAATATCTTGAGAGGTGAAAGAAGTAAAAAAATGAAGAAAGTTTTCCTGTAAAAATTGCACAAAAGAATTGCTAACCACTAGGCATTCTGGTCAATTTTAATTCATGGTCTACCTTTTATAAACACATTCTCTCTTTATTGATTTCCTAAACACATCCATATACAGTACTAGTATATGGTGACCAGCCCCTCCAACCCTGTTCTAATACATGTAGTACATTTACATAATGTAACCCAACACCACAGGGTGTCTCCTACAGCACCAGTTACCATGGTGACAGACGTCTGGTCCAGGTCATTGATCTTTACGTGTTTGGAGAATTAGAAGAAACAGGGCAAAAACAAAATGTTTCCTTCAGAATCTGCAAACTTTAAGGTAAAAATGAACATAATCACAACACCAAACATGTAGTCAAAATGACCTACCTGGTCTTTTTGCTGCTGACTCTACCTCCTCCAGTGTCTTCCTTCTTTCTAGCCCCTCCTCCAACATTGTCTCATCATCATCAAAGTCCTGCACCTCCCCAGCCTCATCAGTACCTCTCTCCATCACATCTCCATCTGGCCTGGACTTCTTTGCATCCACTTCTGTCTTCTTTCCTCTTCTTTTCCTCTTCTTACCAGTTTTCTTCTCTTCTTTCAACACTTCAGACCAGTCTCCCTTCTCCTCCTCTGCTCCATTCTCTCCTTCCTTCTTTTTCTTGCTCCTTCGTCTCCTTTTCTTTTTAGCCACATTTTCAGCTGTAATCACTTCTTTCTGTTCTTTGCTTTCTTTATTGTCCTTAAGGGACTGTTGTTCTGTTGTACCGTTCTCTTCAGTTGTTTCTTCCTCTGGCTTTTCATCATCATTGTCATCTGTTTTGGGTTGTTCTTCCTCTTGCACAGGAGGATCATCCTTTTGATTGCTTTTTGAATTTATCTGAAAAAGGGTGCAAGAATGTTTCAGTGTACCTGATGTGTTTAAATGGGGCACAGATTAAAGGTGCATTATGTAACACCAAAAAGTGAAATATTTTAATCTTAGTGCAATTGCAATTTACTCCCACTTTCCAACGTGTCTTTGCAATTATCTCACATTTCTGACATTTTTTTAATGGTTGGCACTAAAACAGCCTACTCTCATGATCAGTTGCACTCAGTTTGTGGCACCACCACAAATTACCAGAATGTAAACAAACATGGCTGACAGCTGTGTTTTCAGCTTTCACACACTCAAGACGCACCATATTTTGGCACCTCCACTTCCATAATGGCACTTATGACCACTAAAAATTTACTTTCTGTATCATCCAAATCCTACATAATGCAGCTTTAACACAACATTTAACTCTTCTTCTTTTTTGGACTGTTCATACCTTCAAAGCAGACTTCATCCATGGATTCTTGTCATCATCAACCACAGTTTCCATGGTAACAGCCTCCCCATCCTTCCCATTCTCCTCCTCCTCCTCCTCCCCCTGGTCCTCATCACTGCTGCTGTCCTGCTGTAGAGCTCGGATCTGATTGGTCAGCTCACGGCTTTTATCCAGCTGTTCCTGGACAGCCTGACGAGCCTGGGGGTTAAAGGTAAAACATTATGACTGAGAACATGCACACAACATGGTGGTAATCAGGTGGCAAGGTGGTCTTGTGAAGGTTCTGATTTAAAATCCCTGGCAGACTGTATTGTTCTGTTCTTAGGATAGGCCGACTTTCCTCCTATATTTCATCAATTGAATCAGGTAAAAATGAGTAACTAGCTTACTCTTGGATGGGACATATTGACCACATTAAAGATCCCACCTCACGTATCAAAATAGGGTAGGGTCTTTCTTAGTGTGAGTGGTTCAAACCTTAGCCTGGTCTCAGGTTTGTCACCTGTTATGTCAATCATGTCAGAAAAACTTTTACAACTCCTTAGTGAGTGAGTGTGAAATTAAATAAAGACTGTTTTTTAATACAAAACATTAAAGGATTTCCTTGCTGCATGTACACAACATAACACAGAGGTATGATGTCATCAATGTTTCAGTAAAAAGTTGGTTTTGGCAAGTAGAAATGACCATGTACTTGAGCAAGTGAATTTTTGGAAAACTTTCAAACCTCATCGTCAAACTTGGCCATGACCATCTTGCTGCGTGCCCATTTCCCAGTGTTCCTGTGGCGTAGACTGGCCCGCTCCTCGGCGTGGAGTTTCTCCGCTTTCCTAATCTCCTCCTGGGCCAGCTCAGGGTTTGTCTTGTGCAGCTCCTCGATAGCCAACTTCTCTGCCTGGACACGGGAACGTTTCTTTATCCTGTGATACCTGCGGGGAGGACAAAAGAAGAACAAATGAAGATATGGTAGAAAAAATTTTCAGTTGAATATGCGCAGTTGTTGTCCTGGAAAAGCACCAAAGAGATACAGAATATAGAGGACAAGCACTTGACATGTTCCAGCGCAGATGTCTTAGAACAACCTTGGCAAAAATGGAATTTTGGGAAAAATTTTACGTGCAATTTGAAGAATCTACATGCAAAACCATAATGATTATATATATACTGTTACAGTAGTATATTTAGTAGTACTAGTAAAGTCAAATGCTCTCAAGTAGTATTACAATGCATTATATGTGTACACAACATGTATATCCAAGATAAAACTTACATTGTATCTTCAGCTTAGCATTTCTAAACAGTAGCAACTGCACCATTCCATTCTTCTTTCATTGCACTATACTTTTGCAGTATACAAACATGATTAGTACTTTTTGAAAAATTGCTAATTCAGAATACTTTTACTTGCAATTATATTCTTGAATTGAGTTGAAAATCGCCTGCAAATTGCATGACACATAATTTGAGCCATGATGATTCAATTACTCTCGTGTCCCTAATAAACATACCCCCCGGAATAAACATACCCCCTGGACAAATCTTCAAAGTCTAATAAACATACCCTCCGGAATAAACGTACCCCCCGGAAAATGACCAAATTGACAGGTGAACTGTGTGTCCATGATACTAAAATGTGCTCTTTATTTCAATACCAATATATGAGCAAATCTTTCACTGTTACATTTAATTAGTGAGTATATATCACTTTAATTAATGAGTATATATATTGTACTTGTTTTGGGGAAATACAAAATCCGTAGGAGAAGCTATTGCATTTTACACTTCTGAAATGCACTTTGCTAAGCCTTCTCCTGCAACTTGAGTTGAAAATCTGACTAACTTAAGAGATAGAAAATCAAGCCCAATTACGTACAAATATAGGGGTTTAATGAGTATATGTACAACAAAATCCATTTCAACATAATGATTATTTGGTATGGTACATTGTCTAGTCTGGTCAAAGTCTGGATTCTGAAGAAGAGAAACTTCTGAAGAAAAAAACTTTTGAAGAAAAAAAATATTATTCAGCATAAAATTTTGATTGGTTTCCATCTCATTGTTTTTTTAAAAATCGATAATGTGATTGTATCAATTTTAAACGCCCTAAAATTAGCTAAATCGGCGCTTTTACGGTGATTGCGCAATATAGGTGCACTATGACCTTTGACTTTTTACGGGTCATGCTCAGGCGCTAGGCGCCCTCCCCACGTCGGCCGTCCGGCAAATTTCTACTTTTTTAGGGGTTTCGGGACCTAAAAACTAACACCAGAGGGAAAATAAACCACATACGTTTTTTTCATGGTAAATATTGCTAAAATGGACCGGGCATTATTCTGCCGCGTTGCCGATTTTGACAAGGACTTGCGGCCGCCATGTGCTAAATACGTCGATTAGCTACTCGCCTTCCCCTTCGGTTTTGTGGGCAAATTTTTGCTTTTTCAGACGTTTTGGGACTTAAAAATGGAAAGCAGGCGAAAAATAAATAACATACATTATATTCATGGGAAATGCCGCTATCATGGACCAAATATATATCTGTGACGTGTTGCCGAATTTTGCGGCCGCCGGCCACTTGCTGATGGTGCGGTACGTATGGACAATTTTTTTCCCAAAAATTAATAAATGTACCGTCCCTAATAAGAGTGTACCGGGTGGACGTTCGGGCCGAAAAAAATAAACGTACCGGTACGTTTAATCGGGACATCAGAGTAAGGGAAACAATCAGTCTTACTTCTTGCTCTTGATCTTCTTCTCCCGAGCACACTTGGCTGCGTAGTATGACTGCAGGGCTCTCATCTTCTGCAGCTCCTTTCTGCGGGAGAAGGCCTCGTCCAGACTCATGGCTCTCAGTGCCTCCTCCTCCGCCTCCGTCAGCTCGTGGTCCCGCCGCTCCGCAAACTTACTGCCGTGGAGAACCTCGAAGATCTCGCGTTCAAGGTCGGTACTCGGCTGTGAGGGAAAGTAGGACAACATGTTTACTTACTAGAACTTCTTGCTCTGGTATAACAATCTCAGGGCCTATCATGGAAGTTCATCTGTGTTGATAGTTACATGACTTAGAGTTAAACCACTTTGACAGAACATCTCATATAAGGTCGTATTTGCGCATATAAGGTTAACATACCGTCTGTAGTTTCCAAATATTATGTAAGAAAAGATACCTTTGCAACAGGCAAAATTCTGATGCAACATTGACCAAAAATCCACCGAAAATCGTGAAAATACAGGGTTCTGCGCTGGCGCAGTACGTTCTGCCGACATGCTCGTTAAAGCTATCCTTCTAACACAAGATTTGCTCTCAACTATGAGTAGATCTTCTGCCAGTCACTATGGTTTTCTTAAATAGACTGACCCAGTGAGGCTTGTCATGTGGCTTCTCTGAAGTGTAACGTCAACACTGCATCAAAGGCATCCTATAAATGATGGATATTAGTAACAAGACTACTTCCTGAGAGGGGCAAAACAGGCTATTTACATCAAGGCCCATCATTCATCACTTAACCGTGACAGGGCCAATACCGTTTACCCAATGCTGATGCCTGATGTCACACTTCATATAAGCCACATGAGAAGTCTTACTGGTTGAAAGCTCTAGGTGAGAACGATCTTTGTGTTGGAGCAAAAGTTTATCTTTCAACTACTAGTATCTCAGGGCCCATTTGCTTATCACATTTCTAGATCTTTCATGAAAGAACAAACATTCTTGTCTCTTGTAGACTTAAATCCTGTTCTATTCTCAACTCTTAACAGACTATCTACTGACCTTGAACGTCTTGACCATACTGTCAGTGGTTGGTAGTGACACAGGTTCCTGGTGCAGAGGGAAGACCAGCTGTGCTGCCTGTCTGTTCTGTCTCACGATGGGCGTCCAGCGAGACACCTCCTTCTTAGCCGCTTTGTACGCCAGCGAGCGCTCAATCTGAGGTATAGGGGTAAGTTTTTCAGTCACTTATTTCCTAAAAAATGAAATAGGATTATAGGAAGCATAGTGTTAGAGAAGACTGGTTGTACAAATGTACTGTATGAAAAACTACAACTTTGTACCTTTGCCAAATGATGTTAACCTTTATGACTGACGAATTATAGATGTTTCTTGCCACAAGCACAAGAGCTGTCTTTCATGTGACCACAGCATGTCCAAATCATGAGATATCAAAATGGTCCTCTGCAGTACCATAACAAGCTGCCAGAGCCAAAAATCTAACCATCTTCAGGTCTCATGAAGACCTACCCACATACCAAATATCAAGATAATTCATCAAACATTTTACAGTGTCATTTTTACAGACACACAAAAACATCTCTGAAAACATAACCTTCATTCAATCATTGCTAAGGTAAAATTGAAACAATGGAAAAAATCTGACCCTCTGAGCCTGTGGCTTGACCAGTGGTGCCTCCATGACCTTCTGTCGACCTTGCATCTTGCGGATCTGAGTCTTGACCTTGGAGAACTGGTTGGTGTTCCGCAGTGACCCCACAAGGTCATTGAGGTGAACACGGCTTCCTCCTGTTGGGAAACAGTGGTAAAGTTCATGAAAGTTCATCTGTTACATGTTTAAAGTTAAAACTTTTGATCCAACAAGTGATTGTCCTCACCTACATGTAGAGCTTTCGACCAGTGACTCTGACTCACATGGACCAGTGCAGGTTGCAATGGTACATGTACATGTACACTTGTAGGTACAGGTAGACATCAGAAACACCTGCACAGCTCCAATTTTACCTGCACTAACCTGCATATACCCAGTACATGTACCAATGAAGGTTAGGTGCAGGTAGACATCAGAAATACATGCACTAACCTGCACATACCCAGTACATGGACCAGTACAGGTTGAGGTGTAGGTAGACATCAGAAATTAAATACCTGAAAGCTATGAAAATAATAATTGTTCACTCACCATTGTCACCTGAAGAGATGTCAAATGGAGACACCTGGAGGCTGGGCTCTGACCTCTGGATGACCTTCCCTCTGGAGAAAAACAAGCAGATTAAAAACTGTCACCACACGGTCAGGCCTCGAAATTAACTTTTTTTACTATTGTCCCAGAATTGTCCCAAACATAGATTTCAGTTGTCCCAAACTGAAGATGGACTGTCCCAGCCTGCTTTTCAGGAAATAACAATAATAACAACAATACAGAAAACAACAACAACTGAATTTGTACAACTTGAAGTCCACTTTATCAGTAAATCTAGGGAAATACATGATAATATCATGGGCACAGCACCATCTTTGAGGACCCCCTCCACGATATTTGGAATCCCTGATTGGTCAAATTTATTTGTTTATCATAATTTTTTTAATTGTTTGTCAGACTATTATTGGCTGCCAGCGGTCCGCAGCAGTTCGCGTTCCAAAATGATGGATCCGTTCCAAAATGACTTGGATGGTCTCAGAATTTTCCAATTGCCCCAAAATTGTCCCGAAATGTAATTTGAATTGTCCCGAGCTGAAAATTTTGTGTCATTTGACACTGGGACAATGTTAATTTCGAGCCCTGACGGTATGACACCACTTTATAGTTGTATCCAAGTTAGACCAAGTTGGCTATAGAGTGGAAGGATCACCCTGGATAGATAAGGATACGTCTTCTCCTACTAAATGCCCAAACTGCCTACACCACGAAGACGGCCTCATTACCCAGTAAGGGTACCTAATGGCCTGGATTCAGGTGAATATTCAGGTGAATATATATATCTTTACACCCCACCTTTGTCTGTTAAATATGACAAATTAGGGAAACCTTTTTCTGTTGTGAGCAGTAAAATTCCATCAAAATGATGAAAAGGCAAATGCTGGCTACAACACTGATTACTGGTATGTACATTGTAGTTTTACTTTTTGCTGCTGTGTCAGGGACACCACCACCAGTGTAAGCAAATACAGGATATATCAGTATTTTTTAAGACTGATATTGTGATAACATAAAAACTGCTCCACTGTCTTACTTGATTCTACTTTTTTTGTCCAGTGATGTGATGGCATCCAGCAGGTTCCTGTGCTGTCCTTCACTGTCTGACTCCACCTGGAAAGGAAATAAAAAGTTCGTTGACATGTAATGTTAACCGTTTAACATTAGTGTGGTTCAAAATAAATCACAAAGAAATCATGTGGAATCCTTAAGATCATGGATCATTTATTACATTTAGCTTCTGGTTTACTCTTTGGTGGCATTTAAGATCAATTATGCTGCTACAAAGCTCAATTTTTTTTCTGCATTAAAAAATTACCTACATGTACACCCGAGACAAATTTTACCAGCACTAACCTATTACATGTATGCACCTTTTGTAGTATTTTGAACCTTGTGTTAATGTTATGATTAGACATCTTCTTGTTGTCTTTTCTTCATTCAAATGATTCTCTGTTGTAACTTGGTAATTGAAAAATTGGAAACTTGACAACTGAGCACTTAAAAAGACAAATTAAAATTTAAAAATTATAAATTATTATAATTTTACATTATTTATATATTATTATTTCAATTTAATATTATAAATACCTCCTCATCACTGAGCACCAGGGCACTGTCATCTTCTTCTGTCTGGTCTGTATTCATCTGCAGCAAGGCCCTGTTCATATAGATACACAATTATTACAATATAGGACACTGACCTAAAACACTTAATCAGTTAATGACTTATTGGAAAAACTTTCTCGCGTTTTTTTTTTTGGGGGGGGGGGCTTACTGACTTCATCTGGTGTTACTTAGTAGACATTATTTTTACAATAATGAATACTACTAGGAAGTATATTCTTGTTTTATACGTATTATAAATAACACTGTACAACGGGTTGTGATCAGCGTACTGAAAACTGAGTACATGTGCTACAACACTGGCCCGGGTCAGTCACTGCAGGTTTATGGAGAACCTATCAAACAGGTGCAAGATTTTAGATACCTTGGCTCCATGATGGCCTCTAGCAGTAACGACCTTAAGAAACGTAGAGCTTTGGCATGGGTTGCTTTCTGGAAACTAGAGCATCTCTGGAGGAGTGAGTGCATCCCATTTACCACTAAAGTAAAGCTCTTTAAAGCCTCATGTGTATCAGTGTTGTCCTATGGTTGTGAGTCTTGGGTAATCACGAAGGACATGGAGAACAAAATCAACTCCTTTGCTACTTCGTGTTACCGTATTATGCTGAACATCAAAAGGCGTGACCGGGTAACAAACGACAGCATTTACAACTTGACCCAAACTAGTCCGCTGATTCAGCATGTGCGTCGGAGACAGCTGAACTTTCTGGGACACATCCTGCGCATGCCTGAGGATGAACCTGTTAGACTGTACGCCCTCTACGTGCCCTCTCATGGCAGACGCAGGCGAGGCCGACAGCCTACCTCCTACTTCAAGTATGTCCAGCGACTTCTGGGAGATGAGCACAACCAACTAACAGAGAAGCAGATCGCCAACCTTGCTAGCGACAAGGGGCAGTGGAGGGACCTTGCAGTCGCCTGCGCAGCAGCCGACCGATGATGATGATGATGACAACGGGTTATCTACATAATAAACGATTTTCACACTCGTGGTCGTGGACGTAGACTGCATTCTTGGGGATGGGAGGGGGGTATAAAGTTAGTATGATTGTAGAACCCATGTCGACTTGTATTTTTCTGAATATTGAGCATCTAAATATGCAGCCGTAGCTATCAAAATTACCCCTCCATCCCTCCCAAAAATGTACCGACAGTAAATAAAAAGATCTTTAAAGAACTGACTGCGTGTGCGGACATGTTGAAGTTCTTAAAACCACGCCACGTGCATCATATATTCTCGCGATTATGAAAGATCTCCAATAACAAATATCTTATCACTTCAACAAATCAGCACATGGGATCTATATCTAACATATAGCGTAGAGAAAAATATGCCAAGTTGGATATTTTGGCTGAAATAAAGGAAAAATTGTAAAGTAAATTCTTACCGGACTGGGTCGTCTGCCATGATTGCTGACCTATGACCTATGTCGCAAAACGTGAAATCATTTATTAACACTTGAAATATGCGTTTTTAACCTCTAACAAAGGTTTTTTGATAACCAACCATTAGATTATATGTCATATTTTCATATTCATACGTCAAAATGTCACTTTCATTCCTTATTCAATGACAAATTCAAGGACTTTTACAGTAAAAGTAAATTTTACGACAAGTTCTCACATTGGGCGATTATATTCCAGAATTAGGTAATTCTTTACTTAATTTATACATTCCAAAACAATCTAAAGTGATGGATATTAATAATCTTAAAATATACAAACGAAACAAAATTCAAAAATCGAATTCCTTTGGCTTAAATACTCGCCTTCATTCAGTATTTATTATATTGACGACACAGAGCTGATACACCCTATTCTGAAGAATGGCCCAGTCCACAATTAAAATGGCGGCAAATGATTCTAGTTCGTGACAATTGCACAGTTCGGTCAAGGAAAACTCTGCAAAGCAGGCTTCAAAATGACTCACAGGGGAAACTCAGGTCTCTTGGAAGGTACCTAGTTAGATATTTCCTTGAAATCCGCTCTTATTCTAGAAGTTAAAGACGGTAGACGACGTTTTAGCGTGTGTTTTGATTCGGCTTGCGCATGCTGCGCAACACGTTCGAGACATCTTGCAAAATTCTTCTGACAAATTTCCTGATAGAAGGTCCTTTCACGGAAAGCCGATTTCCTAGTATGAGTCTTTTGCGGAAATTATATTGATAATACATGTATTATTGGCGACAATGCATCAATTTTGCATGGAATATTTGCGCTACGAGAACCATCTGCATAAATGCACAAGTAGCCACTAACATATGCAACAGCAGCCTTGAACAGGAAATGACAGCCTTTGCATCTGAATATCCGACACATGACGTGATGTGTGCTGTTTTTCTCGTTCTTTTGCACAGTCTGTTCACTTGTGTTGAGCTCTTTGACAAAGTATGTAATGAAAAATTCCCTACCCTTGTTGTTTGTAATATTTTTGTTGTTTTTTCTATAATTCTTAACACGTCAAAGCACCATGAAAAATCAGAATTTCCCTACACTATATGATAAGGAGCACATTGGTAGTATGTACTGTGCCTGCCTGTTTTTTCACGTTTTTTGTTGGATATTTGGTCAATGTGCATCAGAATTTTGCCTGTTGCAGACAAGATCTTTTCCAACACAACATTTGGAAACTACACACAGAATGTTAACCTTATATGCGCCAATATGTGATATTATATGAGACACTTTGCTAAAGTGCTATGTACAATACATTAGTGCAGTACGTTCTACTGATGTGCCATGATACAGCATATACAGTTGTTGAAAGTTCCATGTACAATTTCAAAGTTCCATGTACAATTTCAAATTCACATGCAAATCTGGTTCCCTCCCCAGCCCTTGACACAAGTGCAGAGAAAGACGACCAGGGCTATAGAACACTTTTTGGCTTTGGAAACATCATGGATTCGGATGATTCTGCCTCTCCTGGACACCAGTAAGTATATTATAGTCCATTTAACTGAAAATATGGGAGATATCACAATTGTAATACACAACACAGGCTTAACATTAGTAAGTTGAATTATAGTGCGGTATAGCCATAGTAGAAGATACCATACCACATACAGCACGGGGGAGTTGAAATATTTTATTTGAAAACCTGAAAATATAGATTAAAAAAAATTGTCATGATCAGATTATTAATCTGTACCCCAATAACTGCAATCAAGGAAATCCATCAAACTCACCGTTAATATTATAGCTACATTAATATAACACACAAATATGACCGAAATCAGTACCTTTCCATGGAAGGATAAATGTAAATATTGCAAACTTTGCATAACACTTCATCTGTTATTGTGCTTTGTTTGTGTTCAAAATTGTCAGAAGATGTTTGTAAAAACCTATTGTACATATATTTTACAGAACTGAAGATGCAGAGGAAGATGATGTTGTTTTAGTTGAAGACACACCAACTGATTCTGACTCGGAGGCCTTAGGGTCACCAAACAAAGTCACCAAACGTGCACTGGTAAGGCAGGACTGAGTACAAAGACATATATACATGTATATAATTACCATGTCTACATTGTATTCAGTTTTACATGGTTATAGTAATGGTCATATTATTATGTAATTAGGCCACACCAAATCAGAAAAAAATGAAGAGGCGAATACGAGAACTAACAAATTAAGTTGGTGTGGCCTTAGTTAATCTCTCTAGTCAAATCAATAATTACAATGGCTGGCCAATGCACTTACAATGTATTATGTACATACCAATGATCTTGATTTTTGTCATTGTGGAAGTTGCAGTACCTGTACCTGTACATGTACAAATTGGCCCTAACTAAAACATTATATTTGTATTGTAGTCAAACTGATGTTTTTTCTTCATGAGATATATGTACATGTTCTTCTTCATTTTCTACCTTCCAGGACTTCAAAGGAAGTTTCAACAAGGATTACAAAATCCCAAGGAAAATGAAAGATTCCGAAGTTGTGGAAGATTCAACCCAAGCGTTGACAGACAAGGCCCAATATCACTCTTCCCCTCTGTCTAAAACTCAGTATCCACCCTGCAATACCCAGTACACCAGAACTCAGCACAACAGACTCAGCCTAAAACTAGTGACGGGCAAAGGCAACTTTAACTCCTACAGGGAGGACCAACAAGCACGTGTGGTGCATTCAAACTCTAACAGTTTTAACAAACATAATCCTCAGAATAGTCAGAAGATATCTGTTCACGTCCCTGCGTTGAGCACTGTTGCACTGAAACCAAGGATTGTGGTGGACAACCATGGAGTTTCTGGTACTTTTCAGACATTGTCGCAACACCCTGCATCAACAAGTATTGTCAAACATGGAGTGAACATGAACAGTAGTAGTACAGGTGTGAGTAGGGAGGCTTGCAACACCGATGTTTCAGGTGGCACTGAGAGTGAAACAGGGAACAGGACAGGTACTGACACAAATGTCAGCTCCAATGTGCAAACACATCAGCAACATGAGAAAGGTGAGACATCACTCTTTTTTAAAATATAACTCTTTTTATTAACATTCTTAAAAGATTATATTCAAAAGAAAGCATGGCACGTATACAAGAAAAAGTGTAACCACAAAACTGAAACGTAAAATCAAAAGACAATTGTCTATGATCTTAAGAAAACATTATTACATTGTAGTGAGAAACCCTTTTTCAGTCACAATATAACAAGAAGAACTTAAATCAAAACTGGTAATGTTAGGGACAATATGAAGTCCACCCCATTTCACCAATTAAATTTGTACTTGGGATGTTGTGTTTTTGAACTTAAATCACTGAAAAGTTGTGTTTTTGAACTTAAACTACTGAAATGTAATGTTTTTGCTTCACAGGTCAGCTGGGTGGAAGAGAAGCTTTCAATGTCATCAGTTCAGGGGGACTGCAGGGAGGGGGAAGGGGCCAGGTGGTTGCTAGAGGGGGTCTAGTGCGACGAGGAAGGCCGTTGTCATCACTGAAAGGGAATGCAACCGGCATGAACATGTTGTCGTGAGTATGAATCCTAATATATATTTCCATTGCATACTGATATCTGTTAGGCAAAAATGTGATGTGGCTGATGGAAGACAGTTGCTGATGTTTTGTATCATACTCATAGACTAGTTCTAGCTATTTACTGGGTGGTACCTCCACAATTAAGAGCTTACCTCTTGTAATAGTTGTATGTATAGTATATGATATTTCAAGGGGTTCAAGTGTGTTAAAGATAAAGAAATTGTGAAAAATAGCAGGAAATGTCAATATCAGACAGATTTGCCCATCTAGAGTATTTTTTGATTTGCTGTCCTGAAATTACATTTACTTTAATTTCTTACTGCCCTTTAAAGCCAGTCCCAGCATGTAATGTAGGGAAGCAACAAAGGTTCTCCAGTTCTCTGTGTCCTTGGCTGTTTTCTGGATCAGGGTTGGACAAGTTTTAAAAAATCCACTTGCCCGAACAAGTAGTTTCACTTGCCCTGGGCAATTGGGCAATATAGGACAGGAGTCCACCCCCAAAAAAGTCTAAAGGTTAATAGAGTCGGTCGGAAAACAGGAAACACAACATTTTTTTTTCTAGGCCTAAGGATAATTAGTTTCCATGCATTGCATTCTAAAATTGCAAATTGGATGCCTTTAAACTCAGTGCTGTCTGTTTTCTGATTCCAGCAGCGCTCGTGTTAACCTGGGCGATCGCTGTGACCAAACACCAACAAACTCGCCTCAGAAACAAGGGTTTCAGGATGAGTTCTCTAGACACCTTCAGGAGAAGAACAGGAACAGGACAGCTCCCAGGGTTGAGGCTAGGACAGCTGCCATGGCCAGGGGCGAGACTAGGACAGCCGCTGAAGAGATGAGACAAGTACTCGGCAGTCCGTCTCGCCTGGGTGCCTGGAAACATGCAGATGTACCGAGGTAGGTCACGTGTTGGGCTATTGAGTTTGAGTTTATTTAGGATCCACATGTGGCGTCTGTGTGGTGTAGTGGTAGAGCATCTGACTGTCAAGCAAGAAGACCCAGGTTCAATCCCCAGGGTTGGACCCTTGGGAAAGGCACTTAACACATATTTTCCCCCTCAGTTAGAGGGATCCTGGGCCCTACTAGGGTTTGGGTTGGCATTAGGAAGAGCATCTAGTCGTAGGAAACCGTGCTTTAGTTTAAAAAAAGACTTGCACTTGATACAAGCACATCTAACCCAGAGTTTTGGGGAAAAATATGTTAAACTGGATAGCGAGCGAGAGAGAGAGACACTTTTAGCATCCATGTACACGACAGTAACTATGATTAACATGTATTGATGCCTTTTTAAAATCATTGTTTACATGTTTGTCCAGCAGTACTACCGCATCCAGTTCTACACAGGTAAACGGGGAGACCAGTCAGGATACTCAGAAAGGTACAGCAGCTGCAGAATTATTCAATTCACATGTTTTCTCTTTCCAATTTTTTTTTGTTGGATTATAGTGTTAGAAATACCCATCTGCTGTCCTCACTTTGCATAGGCATTTTCAATATCGCTGAAGAAAAATGAAGCAACCAGCAATTTTGCAGACTGAAAAAATCAGTCTAGGGGTTCAATGTTGTTTAAGAGCTTTGGTGTTTACTACTGACTGTACATGTATAATATACAACAGTTAGTATGCATTTTTCAAACTACAAAATGTTTACAACATGCAATTTTGCATATGCCATGGGTTTAGATCTGGAGTTTTAAATGTGTACTTGCAGAAAGTATTTTGAAATTGCAGGACATTTTTGTTTTGACATTGTGGAATATTGCAGGTCACTGAAGAAAGTATTTCTACCACTTGATAAATTTTCTTTCTTTTTCCTGCTCAGAAGCCTCAGCGGCAGAGTCGGGAACAGAGAAGAAGGAGGCAGACTCTACAGAAGGAGGAGATGAAGTAAGACTTCCAATTATGGTCATTGACCTTGACCAGATGTCTGTCGCCAATGGTAACTGGTGCTGCAGCAGACACCCTGTGGTGTTGAATTACATTATGTAGCAAGTTGCTGGACAAGTTTGGAGGGGCTGGACAGTACATGTATATACAATGTTATCATAATGTATTATAAATGTGTTTGTGTAAAAATAAACAGGGTAGTTTGTAAAGCAAGACCATGTAAAGGTTTAAACATTATGCATTCACTTATTTTTACAAATGTTGCCATAATTTTGGTGTTCTGTTTATGAATGTTTCCAGGCCGAGGAGGAAGCTAAGATCGCGTTTTTGTGCATGAACTGCGGAAACTCCACGTACAACCCCGACCACTGTAACAGCTGCGGGAAGAACAAGCTTCAGAAGGTGAACTCCAGCCACGACCCCCTCAAACCTCGACCCCGCGCCCCCCTCTCCAGGAGGGGGATACAGCCCTCAGACTTCTACAAGGATAAGATGGCCAGGTTTTCCAACATCTACTCGCCAACAACAAGCACTGTGACCTACTCCAGAACTGCCGCAGATAAAACAACGACTCAACAACGACTCTATCAACCAGTGACAAGAAGGAACACCAGGAATGCAGGCAGACCTTTAGGGAGAACACGAGTCTCACAAAAAGGTATGGTAGGATTTTAACTGTCTTTGAAAAGTTTGTTTTGGAGTAGAAATTGGATTATTACTAACTTAGTACAGTAATCATCCTAAATTGACAAAATACAAATCCCTTTCCACACCTTTTGTATGTGGTTTTAACTTGATTTTTCTTGTTCAAAATATTACATTTGAATTGTGATTAAAAGCAATGTAACATTGTTTGAATCTCATGCAAAACACAGAATCTGAGTAAATGGCATGCTGCAATTGCATATGGCTAGTATGTACTATGTATTGGAGTAGCTTTAGCAAGTATGGTGTGTTTTTATTATTTCTAAAGTCAATAGTTCATCGATCAAGTTTTACTTCTAACTTCAAATCTTATATTTTACATTTGCAGAAGTCCCAGAAGTTGTTCTGATCAGTGATGATGAGGACGACCCACCCAAGCCTGCCGTCCAATCAGAGTCCAGCCCTGCCTCGCGGCCTGGCTCTGGTGCCAACACACCTCTACCTGAACCTGAGAACAGACATGGGACTGGACAGGTCAGCTGGAGGCTGGGGGTGTATTAGTTTTTAGCTGGACTGTCATAAATTTTGATAAATTTAAAAGTGTTCTGGCCCAAGTGATAACTACCCATATCTAACGGTTATCAAACTGTTTTCCAAAAGTTCCTTACAATAATTAGAATTTGCTTTGAATTACAAAATTGCACATGTCAGAATTACATTAATTTTTCTTGTAAAACTCATGTAGATGTTCTTTTACAAGTGTGTGCTTATGTGTTATAGAAATTTGTACTACAGCTTAATATACTAAGTTTACAATTCCTAATCCAGTGCCCAACTGGGCAGTTTGAAAATTATGATAAAAACTCTATTGCAATCATTATTATTTTGAGATCTTTATTTGCAATCAGATACAGATTTATTTACATGTAAACTAAAACTAAAATTATAGACAACAAAACATATTTGAAAGAAAAAACTAATCATGAACACTATTTGTGTGTATTCTTGATGAATTTTTTTTTTCTGTTTATGGAAACAGCCCAACGGGGCCCCAGTTTGGAAATGTGACCATTAGTATCTATTAAATAATTATTGTAATTTGACAGGATTTCAAGTCAGAAGCTGACTCTACACAACAGAGAGAAGCATCAGAGTCACCAGTGCCGCCAAAAGCCAGGGCTTTCATCACTGATCAGCAAATGAGCACAGCTGTTCTTATAGTCCGTGCCATTCGGATAGGCTCCCGCCTGGTCCAGCCATGTGAGGCCATCAACTTTAGTGTGGAGAAAGGCATCCATTTCAAGGTGGAAGGTAGGATGGAATTCTTACAAACTGAGTGAGCATTTATAGGCATCTGATGCAAGTTCAGAATGGCAAAACAAATACTCTGGATTAGGAGAAATCTGTCTTGTATGGACAAAACAAACCATGTGAGATGTCCCTTTATTTTTTGGTACCACCAATAAAATTATACATTTTGTACCTGAAGTTATAAAGTTTTGAGGGATGGATATCAAGTGAGTGAGTAAGTGAGTGAGTGAGTGAGTGAGTGAGTGAGTGAGTGAGTGAGTGAGTGAGTGAGTGAGTGAGTGAGTGAGTGAGTGGTAGAGTGAGTGAGTGAGTGAGTGGGTGAGTGAGTAAGAAAGTCATTATTCAGTTATACCACTTACTGCTTTCACAGCTTTTTTTGTTACATGACCTCCTTGACAGCTCAGGTGATTTTTGTCACATGACCTCCTAGACAGCTATTTCCTGTGCATGATAAAGAAGGGGATTGCAAAAGAAGATTTAAAATGGGTTACATTGCATCGGTATCCAAATTATGACATTTTACACAATATCTGAATATTTCATGGATTTCAGAGGTCTCTGAATTCTTGTTCAAGCCTTGAATGTGATTTTTGCCTTCTTGGTATGTGGTAGGTCACAGTTTTGAGCTTCAGTCTGAGGACTTAGTACAGAGTGTGGCACACTTCGGCAACAGTGCACCCTTCATCCAGCTGTCAGTCACTCCCAAGGTCGGCCTAGCCATACGCAGTCGCTTCCGCTTCAAGAAGAAAGAAGGCATGGACTGGTTTGATCCTGGCAGTTCAGGTAAGATTACAACTTACTAGTGGGGCATTTTTGCAGCAAAAGTTGAAATATTTCAATTAAAAAAATGACAAATACAAAGTTATATTTCCATAACATTTTTCTGGGTCAGTATGAAATTGACTTGACAATATTTTACCCCAATATCAGGTGTATGCCATAAAAGCTGATACAAGTATTCAACGGTGGTTGCTGTTAGGATTATTGTTTGCATGGCACTGCCATCATTTCATGATTTTGAGGAAGCCTTGGTACCCTCCCCTCCCCTGAGTGTATAGTGAACGAGCCCCGGGCAGGGTCACAGAAAGTAGGGCATCCGGGGCAGACAGGTTTTCCCAAGGGTTTCCAGGAATGTGGGCAGAGATGTGGGTCTGCAAACAGAGCTGGGAGACATTCCTGTGGACACTTCATGCCTGTGGACAAAATTACTGTACAATTCCTAGAATCCTTGCAAACTGCACACAATACTGTACCATTAGGCTCCTCCCTGAGACGTCGCCAAAAAAGTATTTTGACACTGACCAAACAATGCTTGTCTCCCCACTAGATGCAAGTGAGAAGTACATCCTGCTCCTGTTGCACACTCCTGTGACACAGAAAGAAGCTGACACCCTGAGGTTCCTGCTGCAGACCTTCTCCTCCCATCCTGACAGGGGCTTTATAGAGATCAGGGATAAGGAGGAGGCCAACAACGTTCTCTTGGCACTGGAGGTTAAAGAACCTCTGCAAAAGGTAGAGTGGAGGGGAGATTTAACTTGCATCTACTATGAACTTCCAACTATGTTTCTAGTGTCTATAGTGTATAGTGAAATGCCCAAGCTAGACATATGAATTTGTTGTACAATACAGATCTTGAATAATTTCCCATCTATACACATACAAATTATCATCAAAAGTCGTGCAAAATGTGTGTGGCGAAAAGCCTTGCATTACTGGATTAAAACTTTAGGAAAAGCTGACTAAAAGACTAAAAAGCTGCACATTTCTAAATGAAATTGTGTTCATTTCTCATGTGCATGTAAAACACATGTACTGTGTAGTTGTTCCTGTAGTCTCATTTAGTTTTGCATTTTTGTTAGCCACATTTGATTGATTGACATTCGATTCACACAAATTTTGCATAAAGCTTAAACCATGCGTTACATGACTTTGACACAGCTTTCAATCACAAGTTAAACATGAGCTACATGTACATGACTTTTGCATAACAAAAAAATGAATGAGTTAAATCTGTGTGTAAAATGCATGGAAGGGAAGTCAATCGAGATCTTTACCATACAAATGTTTTCCAGCCATTCCAGTGCAAACTCAAAAGTATTATAAAAACACTTGCAGTGGTGTTGCCATCTTCCTTTTACCTCTGTGTGCTGTGGTTGAAGTGTTCTCTCTTTACTCTCTTTCCTCCAACTTCTTCATTAAAACAGTCTGAGAAAACCACTTTCATCACTACACAGTCAGTGCTGATGTCGTCCAAACCACCCGCAACCCTCCAGATCACATCCACCGTGGGCCAGGGACCGTCCAGTATATCCCACAGGCAGTCTCCCGTACCTAGGGGACCGCCCATTGTACCCGGGGGGCAGTCTGACAAAGTCAGAACCAGTCAGAGGAAGACTGTTCATGAACACAGGATGTCCCTATCAGAAACGAGTAGTAGATCAAGCTCCCCTCTGTATCATCATGATCAGGAGGAGGAGGACAAAGATGGGTTTGTTGGGCCTGTCACCAAGTAAGTTGATAAGTGTTGCAAATGTAGATAAGTGTTTTTTTTAGCTAGCCTGATTTTGTTCTGTCCTCTCAATTTTGTTTGATATAGCATTAAGAAATCTTGAAATCTTGACCCTCTGAAATACTATTTCTTGTATTTTGAGGGTCAAATTTTGCCGGGAGACTAAGCTTAGTTTAAGAACACCTGTTTCCGTACCCTTACGCACTGTTTTTTGTCCATCAAAGATGATGGATTGGGCAAAATTTGTATTTGTCATGAATTGTACATGTAAATTCCGTCAAATAGCAGACAAATACTGGCTAGAACACTGCGGTAGATAGAGAAATAAGTATGTCCAAAATGTTGGGTTTTTTTTCTTCGCAAGTCAGTACATGTACATGTACATGTATGTACCAGTGGTAAC